GGGTCACCGGGCGCTGCGCGGGGAGCCCCACTCGCCGCAGCCCCTGGCCCCGGAGGATGTGGGCGGGGATGCGGTGGAGATGCTCGCACACGTGCTGCCCCTGGACAGGGACCACGGAGGGCCCCATCCCGAACATACTCTCAGGCGCCGCCCCCCCCTCCCCCCGTGATTTCCCCCAAATAATAACAAATAACAAGTAATGCAGCAGCAACAAATAACAAAGGACTGGCACATCCCTGATACCTGCGCTCTTGCCTTTCAGAGCCAAAGGCAGGATTCTAGACAGTGCTGACCCGATTTTCTCTCCAACTCTTTTTTAAAATATTGGAAACTTCTCATTTCCAAAAATGCACAAGAAAGAAGTCATTGAGGGGAAACTCAGAATCTGGGTAGACTTCCTTACATACATGTTAATGTTTGTATTATTCTCACATGCAGGCGCCTAGCAGTTGCCAGGCGTGGAGCCTCGGAAAGTGTGAGGCCACAGTGCGTGGCAGCCACTGCAGCAGCCACACTGTGGCCACGCTGGTTCTAGCTCACTTCCCCTCCTGCTGCTGCTTGTTGCCTGGTCCTCATGCGGCACTGAGTGTGTCTCCGGATGAGGTTCTAGACTTTCCCAATGGACATTTTCTAACCCGATCCCTAGACAGTTATAAATGAGCCGCTTCTTTTTCAATGCCAAGCTGACCCGACTGACACTGCCCATTCTAGGGGAGTGTCTACTGTGAAAACAGCCTGCTGGGCTTCAGGGCCACTTCTGCAACTCCCTGACAGCACATGCCTCAGTGTGAGAATGACAGCAAGAAGGCCAAAGCACAATCTCAAGGGAAAAGGCAAAAAAAGCTTCTTCTACCCAAGACTTGTAAAGAATATACGAACCTGAGGGCAGAAACAGGTTCCCCCGCCCCTAAAGCTTGCAAAGACTTTCCCCCTGTAAAACAGGGGCCCTGTGTCTCAGGAGAAAAACGGAGGTCATCACAGACTGCCTTCACCTCCACTTGTACGTGAAGACATTTCTACACATAACAGGAGCCACTTAATAAAAATCTGTACTATGAGGGAGACAGGGTTAACACCAGGCCAGCTGAAGCTGGGTCTGGGGGTAAGATGAGGGGGGCTCACTTTCCTCAATTAGAAACCTGGGGGGAGGC